CGTAGATGCCACTGGTTCTTCACATTCTGTAGATGTTGTCACTGGTTCTTCATGTTCTGCAGACATAGATGCCACTGGTTCTTCATGTTCTGTAGATGTAGATGCCACTGGTTCTTCACGTTCTGTAGATGTAGATGCCACTAGATCTTCACGTTCTGTAGATGTAGATGCTACTGGTTCTTCATGTTCTGTAGATGTAGATGCCAATGGTTCTTCATGTTCTGCAGACATAGATGTCACTGGTTCTTCATGTTCTGTAGACGTAGATGCCACTGGTTCTTCACGTTCTGCAGATGTAGATGTCTCTGGTTCTTCACGTTCTGTAGATGTAGATGTCACTGGTTCTTTACGTTCTGTAGATGTAGATGCCACTGGTTCTTCATGTTCTGTAGACATATATGCCACTGGTTCTTCATGTTCTGCAGACATAGATGCCACTTGTTCTTCACGTTCTGTAGATGTATATGCCACTGGTTCTTCACGTTCTGCAGACATAGATGCCATTGGTTCTTCATCTTCTGCAGACGTAGATTTCACTGGATCTTCACGTTCTGCAGATGTAAATGCCACTGGATCTTCACGTTCTGTAAATGTAGATGCCACCACCGCCATCTATTGCGCGGCGGTTGAACTTACGACTCTCGGTCCGAACAGCTGCAACTGGACATACGGGCACTGGTTTGTTCGTATGTCTGAAAGTTCGTAAGTCGAATGTTCGTAAGTAGAGGGGAGTCCTTGTATTCTAAATATCGCGTGTGGACGCGGTCACGGCACCTGCGTTGGGGTCGCGTGCGCAGAGCGCCCCCTAGCCACCCACTGCAGGGAGATTGCTCTACATCTGGGAATCGAGAGAAACAAACTTCAAACTGAACATACTCTCTGTTGGACCTTTTTTTGCCAGTATTCAAAATGATGAAAAATACCAATAATAGGTTTTACATAGATATAACTATATTCTTGGTTCTTTCAGTAAAGTCACGTAGAAGGGAAACAATACAATAATAAACAATATTAAACAATAAAATTCTCACGACGTTTCGACTGCAACACAATCATTTTTTTCAAATATTCTTGCTGTGGTTTTGACACCTAACGATGATTGCTTGTGTTGCAGTCGAAACGTCGTGAGAATTGTATTGTTTTATATTTTTATTATTTTATTCCCTTCCCACGTGACTTTACCGAAAGAACCAAGAATATGAATCCCTGCAGTCACGGAAGCTTTAAATCAATAGATATAACTGTTCGACCGGAGTAATAAGTGTATCCTGATACTTCCATTGTCTTTGTTATTGTTCGCCTTTTGATGTCCACTGGTCTAAACGCTGATGGTGAGACAAGTCCATACAAATCTTGATTTGAAGCTTTCTTGACTGCAGGAATCCATACTCTTTGGTTCTTTCGGTAAAGTCACGTGGGTAGAAAATAAAATAAATCACGACGTTTCGCTTTCCCACCTGACGACGGATGCTTGTGTTGCGCCCGAAACGTCGTGATTTATTTTATTTTATACCTACGTGACTTTACCAAAAAAAACAAAGAGTAAGGCCATAAAAAGGCTGTCCTCTGGGGTAGGCCAATCAGGTTTCAAAGACAATGCATCACAAATTATCAGAGCATGTTTTTTTTTTCCACAAGTACGTGTGGTTAATGCAGACTTAATGCCTTGCAAAAGGTATTTATGTGGTGTTTGAACATCGTAACACCTGTTTTATTGCCAGAAAGGGTAAAACCTTTTCTTATTTTTAAAACGTAACTATTTTCTACTTTACCCAGGTAAGGCTCACTGGGCAGCATTTCCATTTTTCAGACGCGACCTGGGACACAAATGATAGCTCAACGGAAGTGGCCTCATCATCATCACGTGGAAATTTACAGCAGCAGCCAAAACAACTCGAAACGCGTGGCGATGTTGATTCGAAATGTGGGAGGGAAAAACCGGAGCACCCGGAGCAAAATCCACACGACCGCGGGCAAAGAGAGACGCCGTCAACTCAAAATCTACAGCAGGCGTCCTGACGGGTTGGGAACGAACCCACGACCTCACCGTGTTCCGGGCGAGGTAGTTAACATCTCGCCACCGTGGCGTCCCAAACTTTTGGCGAATTGCCCGATGCTGCTGGATGTAATTACCAGCGAAACGTCGTACTAAAAAACTGTAAATGTTGTGGATTCACTCTTCAACACACCGGTGGGCTAAAGCAGTGAACTATTTGTCTTTAATATTCTTGGTTCTTACGTGACTTTACCGAAAGAACGAAGAATATGAATCCCTGCAGTCACGAAAGCTTTAAATCAAAATTTATTTGTCTTTTGTCAACGTGACACTTTTTTGCTGATTGGCCGTGTCGGGTGGTGGAGGGATACGACACATTTATAAATAACGCGATCTAACCCAAAAACGTTCATTATGAATAATATTGGTCGCGAAAGCCTACGTGTTAAACTCCCAAACTTGAACGACTGTGTTTCCTCAAAATGTTCTACTGGGTCTCTAACGAGCAAATAAGAGCACATGGTGAGTGAAGCGGTTCGCCAAACGTGATCGCCACCACCACCATCACAGCCACCACCACCAAACAACCACCATCACCACCACCGATCTCTCAATCGGATTCATTCACACCAGCCCACAGGGGATTATTGTGTCCGTCCGTCGTGCATTCAAAAATGGGAGGGGTGGGGAGGGTGGGGAGGAGAGGGTGGGGAGGGGCTGGGTGGGGAGGGTGGGGAGGGGCTGGGTGGGGAAGGCGGTCACGTCACACACGAGGGGGTGGGTGGCCACCAACCACGTCCGGCCATCTTCACGACATTTTTCCCTCCACGTGGAGAATCAACAATGTGCGTTTGGAGTATGTAGCTGCTCTCAATCTCTACATTATAAGCCGGCCAATTCGTGGGTATTGTACTCTTTTTTTTGAGGAACAGCTTTTTTTTTCTCTCCACCATCCCAGGTCCCCACTCGGTCCCCACCCTTCACGCCGGCTTGTGCCCGCCCTCACAGTCGGGCATATTTGCGGAATACACCACGTGGTGCCGCCGTTGTTGACCCTGGCCATTGACCGAGCAACCCGACGTTCCTACCAGCTCCCTCCGCAGGAGAATGCGTTTTACGCTGCGTATTTTTCGGGAATATTCGCCCTTTTGGCGTCGTCCTCTGGTGTGACGCTGGTGAGACGAGGCCCTTGTAAGAAGGACGCCGTCTCTGGTGTGGACCAATCAGTTTCAAAGACTGCATCAAATATTATCGGAGCATGTTTTTGTTTGCACGTTCAACACAAGTAGCGTGTGCGGTTAATGCAGAGATGATTCCTTGCAAAAAGGTTTCCATTTAAAAACACCGGAGGAGCTGGAGAAAAATCCACGCGACCATGGGGAGAGAGAGAGACACCGCAAACCTCCAGATAGACACGAATAGGTGTTACCCTTTATGACAATAAAACAGCTGTTAAGATATTCTTAGCTCTTTCGGTAAAGTCACGTTGAAGGGAAACAATAAAATAATATATATAAAACAATAAAATTCTCACGACGTTTCGACCATAACACAAACGGTCGTCATCATCACCGTTTGTGTTATGGTCGAAACGTCGTGAGAATTTTTATTGTTTTATATATTTTATTATTTTTATTGTTTCCCTTCAACGTGACTTTACCGAAAGAGCTAAGAATATGAATTACTGCAGTCACGAAAGCTTTAAATCAAAATTTAGCTGTTAAGATATTAAAACACCAAACTGAAACCTTTTGCAATTAATTGTGTGTGCATTAACCACGTGCAAAACACTGTTTGAGACCAGGCTCTAAAGAAAGCTGTCTCTCGTGTGGACCAATCAGTTTCCAAGACAATGCATCATTACATACTACCAGATAATGTTTTTGTGTTTGCATGTTCACCACAAGTATATGGGGTTAATGCAGAGATGCTTCCTTGCAAAAGGTTTCAGTTTGGTGTTTGAACATCTGAATGCCTTCTGTTTTATTGCCAGAAAGGGTAAAATCTATTATTTTTTCATACTTCGCAAATATTATTGTTTTTTTCATTTGCAACAATGTTGATTTTGGAATGTAAGGTTCATTTTGGAATATATTGTTGGGTGGAATATTTTTTAATAATAGTTTGTTACTTCAATGGGACCGTCTTTTTTCCCAGTATCAAAATTTATGAAGACATAAGAATGTTTTATCCTTTTTTGGCAATAAAATAGTTGTGTTAAATCTTTATTTGACGCTTTCGTGACTGCTGGAATCCATACTCTCTGGTTATTTCGGTAAAGTCACGTAGATAGAAAAAATAAATAAAAGACAAGCGGCCGCAACAACAGATTAAAAAAAAAATTCTCACCTGAAGATGGCCGCTTGTGTTGCGACCGAAACGTCGTGTTTTCTTTTATTATTTTGTTTATCTACGTGACTTTACCGAAAGAACCAGAGTATAGTTGTGTTAAGATGTTCAAACACCAAATAGACACATTGTGGCCCGCTGGGCCCCCTACGCATCAACGCTGACACACAAACCCACAAACCACAGTTCGCGCCCCTGTGTTAAAGTGAAATTGGGAGGAGGGGGCAGGAGGGGGGGGAGGAGGAGGGGGGAGGAGGAGGAGGGGGGAGGAGGAGGAGGAGGGGGAGGGGGGAGGAGGAGGAAGGGGGAGGAGGAAGGGGGAGGAGGAGGAGGGGGGAGGAGGAGGGGGGGAGGAGGGGGGGAGGAGGAGGAGGGGAGAGGAGGAGGAGGGGGGAGGAGGAGGAGGGGGGAGGAGGAGGAGGGGGGGGAGAAGGGGGGGCGAGGAGGAGGAGGGGGGGAGGAGGAGGAGCGGAGGGAGGAGGAGGGGGGGAGAGGAGGAGGGGGGAGGAGGAGGAGGGGGGGAGAGGAGGGGGGAGGAGGAGGGGAGATGAGGAGGGGGGATGAGGAGGAGGGGGGATGAGGGGGGAGGAGGAGGATGGGGAGGAGGGGGGATGAGGGGGGGGGATGAGGGGGGAGGAGGAGGAGTCACAAGACATCCGGACCCACCCTGGTCACACAACAATCAGGGCGCCAGCCAAGGCTTGGGGATGTATCAACACCCCCCCCTCCTGGCGTTCAGTGGAAACTCGTTGCTGGTACCGTAGTAGCCTTATTATTAATAATAATATGATTATTTTACAGTAAGAACCGCTAAAAAAAGGGGGGGGGCTGACCAGGAAGAGGTTTTATATATGTGTTTTGTTGTTCGTGTTGCTTAACAGCTTCTCCCGATCAATCCCGCGTGTTTTAAATCCGGCGCGCTGACTTGCCGTGGGAAATCGTCCACGACGACTTTGGCAGCCGTCTCCCTTGGGGCGACTCGGTGGAGAGGCGTTGAGGGCGAGGGCTGCCCGGGTTCGAGTCCGGCTTGGGGTGCGTGGGTCTCGGGCCGGAGGGAGGCCTCTTCCCTGCCTCTTCCCGGCCTCTTCCCTGCCGCAGCAGCAGCAGCAGCAATGAGATCGCGCGGCTCGCCGCTGGCGGCAACTTCGCGGGCCGGGCCCCGCCAGGCCGCGTGAGTGAGCCGAGGGGCCTCCCACCTCGGCAGGCCCCGCCAGGCCGCGTGAGCGAGCCCGAGGGGCCTCCAACCCCGCGGGGCCTCGCCAGGCCCCGCCAGGCCGCGTGAACGAGCCGAGGGGCCTCCCACCCCGCCAGGCCGCGTGAGCGAGCCGAGGGGCCTCTCACCCCGCCAGGCCGCGTGAGCGAGCCCGAGGGGCCTCCAACCCCGCGGGGCCTCCCCAGGCCCCGCCAGGCCGCGTGAGTGAGCCCGAGGGGCCTCCCTGCCCTCCCCGCCCGGGGCCGCGGTCGCCATGGACAGGCTGACGGTGGTCGCTGGGCTTCTCTTCCTCGTGGCCGACGTCTTCGCCCTGGCGAGCCTCTTCAACCCCGACTGGATCAGGACGACGGAGCCGCCAGGTTTGTTGTGGTGGTTGGTGGTGGTTGATGTGACTGGGTTGTCTCGGCACACCAAGGGAGAGGGAGACCCATAATGGACAACGTGAGACACGGTGGCTCAGAGATGTTAACAACCTTGCCTGGTATACAGGAGACCATGAGTTCGATCCATGATCTGGAATATGGTGTGTGTGTGTGTCTCTCTCCCCGTGGTGGTGGTGGTGGAGATTTTTCTCCGGGTCCTACGGTTTTTCCCCTCCACAATTCGAATCGACGTCCCCGTTGATAGTTTTTTCGCTTTTTCGCACTAAAGCAGCTCAACGGCGGACATTTGGCTGCTAGAAATCCCCACGCCCATGGTATAAGCCATTTTGATCGAGTTCTCATTTGCGAATGGGCAGGTCACCCATGAAAAAGAGCTGTTATAGCTCAATGGGCCTTATTTACCTGGTAAAATAAAAAATAAAATGTTAATAGTTTCGTTTAAATAGGCCAGATATCACCACATTCCCACGGTGGCAAAGGCCGTGATTTAACACTTCCAATTAATGGGCCCTAATTTTTTCTCAAGCGGCCCGCTAATAGGTCCCAGCCACGTGTGGAATTAGTGCCCTGCACTTGTAAGGCTAAAATAAGGGTCTCGTGTGCAAGATGTAGTGAACACGGTAACCGTTTAACACGTAAGATTTTTGCGACCAATATTATCCATGGATGATACGGTAACGAGCAGCGGCTGGCGCGAGGGTTATTCCTTACCTGTTACCACTTTTAATCACCTCTCACGCCTTATCTCAACCACTTGTGTACAATTTTATAATTGCTGTAAAGTGGCTTGGATTAAGGCTCTATATACATCTATAGCAGTGAGATTCCTACCTGTTAACGTGTTATCCAGATTATACTGAGATGATGATATACTTAAATACTTAATCTATTTGATGTATTTATTTTTGTATCATTTGCTTACCTTTCCTATACTTTGAAATCCTGTCGTGTTTTTTTGTTGTTGTTGCATTGCTCCTACTGGAAATCGGTTGAAAAAGAGCTTCATAGCTCATCGGATTTCTCCAGCCCGGGTCACGTTTGTCTCTCCGCGCTACAAACCCGGCGGGCCGGGTTCCATTCGCACTTGCGACAGAAATCAGTGGCGATTACCTGAACCGGTCTTGGGCCTCCCCTAGGTCGACTCAGCCTCAAATCTGTACCTGGTGCGGTGTGTAAACGCCGCCACCGGGGGGAGATCAAGGCGAGTCCGGGCGTGGTGCTGGCCACCCACCCCCCTCGTGTGCCGTGCCGGCCTATGTAGGCAGCTTCTCGCTAACAACAACAACACTTGCCCCAACAGTCTGTTAAGACTACACGTGGTGGTGGTGGTGGGATCTTTGTCTTCTCTGCAGCGGTGCAGACGCTGGGCCTGTTGCTGCAGTGCGAGCAGCTGCACGGACGGGAGCGCTCGTGCTCGTCACCCCCGCAGCTCCCCGCGCCCTGGAGGGCCACCCTGGCCTTCCTGGCGTGCGGCGTGCTCACACTGTCCACCGCCTGCGTCTCCGTCGGCGTCGCCCGCTGGAGGCCCCGCGGCGTCGTTTACAGCCGTTGGCTCGCCTTCGCCGCCAGTGAGTGGCCGAACCCCTCCGTGCCCGCCGCCCGCCGCCCGCCGCCGTCCCCACCCACCACCGTCGCCGCCGCGCGACAAGGGCCGCCGGTGGCCCCGCTCGCCTTGCGATGAAGAACGCCGCTCTGAACGAGTGGTGACGTTCATTCTAAAATGCGGAGGGGTGGTGGTGGGGGGGGGAAAGCGGAGGAGCCCGGAGAAAAATCCGCGCGACCACGGCGAGGGAGAGAGGCACTCCCAGTATACAGGGGTCATCAGGGTCACAAACTCCCAGTATACAGGGGTCATCAGGGTCACAAACTCCCAGTATACAGGGGTCATCAGGGTCACAAACTCCCAGTGTAGAGGTGTCGTCAGGGTCACAAACTCCCAGTATACAGGGGTCATCAAGGTCACAAACTCCCAGTGTACAGGCGAGGTAGTCAACATCTTGCCACCGCGGCGCCCGCTAAATGTGGAGGGAAAACGCAGGAGTTGTGCGCGCGTCTCACGGCGGCATCTCCCCCCCCCCCCCCGCCCCCCCCCTCCCCCCCCACCACCCTCCCGCCCCCCACCTCCCAGTGATCATGATGTGCCTGGGCGCGCTCATCTTCCCCGCCGGGTTCTCCGCGGAGGCGCTGGGCGGCGAGGCCTACAAGCTGCCCGCCAACGCGCAGGTGGGCTCATCCTACGTGCTCTTCGTGCTCTCCATCTTCTTCGTCATCGTGGGGCTGCTGTTCTCCGGCCGCATCTTCTTCACCGGCCGCCACTGAGCCTGCGCCGGACCGCCCCCCCTCCCGCCCGCCGGCCCCGTCAACGTCGGCGATGGACGCCCCACCGACCGACGGACAAATCGGATGGAGGGGTTTCCGAGCCGCCCTTCTCGCCCAAGCGCCTTATGCCTCCCTCTCTTCCCGCGGCGTGATCAACGCCACAACCGCATGGGCAGTGCCGGTGCCGTTCTCGGCGCAGCTCGCGAGGTGCCGGTTCTGTGTTTTTTTCCACTACCCGAGCCGGGCCGAGCCGCCGTCGTCGAGAGGCGCGTGGCCGGCGACGCCGGCACGTCGTTCTGACCGACCGACCATTCGCCGCACGCGCAACCAACGCCCCATCATCCCCTCACCCGGCGCTGCTCGGCAACGACCCGTCCCGGTGGAGAAACCCACCGGGCCCGAGAGGGCCCCGCGTTGGCTCGGCTCCGGACGTGCCAGCGGAAGAGGGGGCCGCGTTGCGTCCCCAAAGACGCCCCGCCGCCTCTCGCCCGCCTTCCTTCCTACCTCCCTACCTCCCGTGACGCCGGTGCATGAGCGGGCGAGGTTTCGCCGGAGTCGTGCGGCTTGCCGTGGGGGGGCGCCTGATGCACACGGACACGGAGGGTGGCGTGGAAAGCAACACACCCGGCCGCCTTTATCCCAACCCCCCCCCCCGCATGCCGTTGTTTACACGCTGCCGCCAGGTACTCATTTTGAAGTCTGGGTCAACCTAGGGTACCTTCAAGATCCGTTCGAATTAATCGCCACCGATGCCGGCCGTGGGCGGGAATCGAACTCGGGCGGCCGGGTGTCGCGGGCGCAGCGCGCCAGCTAGCCACTACGCTACCGCTCCCCCTACACACACACGAACACGCACAACAGAGATCAAAGGTCCCCCCCCCGTATAGCCTTTAACAGACTGTTGGGGCAAAGCGCTGTTAGCGAGCACCTATGAAGGCCAGCAGTGCACACGAGGGGCTGGGTCCAACACCACGCCCGGCCGCATTTGTCTCCCCCCAGTGGCGCTATTTACACATCACGCACCAGGTACTCATCTAAGGCCGAGTCGACCTAGGGGAGGCCCAGGGTCGGTTCAAATGTGTAGTCACTGTTGTTGGTCGTGAGCGGGAAACGAGCTCTGGTCGCTGGGTGTCGTTGCGCAGCGTAGCGCTGGCCTGTCACGCTGCCGCTCCCCACAAGACCACACGCGCACCAACGGCCGCCATTCACCACTCGGTGGCGGTGACGTCACCACGGCGCCCTTGCCTGGCCCAGGGGCACTTTGAGGCCACGTTGAAGTGTCGAAGGCTCGCCGGCCAGGAGGTCACGGGACTTGGTCAAGTTGCCATGGGTTGGCTGACTGAGATGGCTGGCAGATGCGCACACACACACAGGGACACACTGACATACACCTCTGTGTATAACACGACGTTGCAGCCACAAGCGTGGTCGTGCTGGTGCCCGGCGGGGGGCGGGGAAGGAGGTGGGGCGGCGTTCGTGTCTCCTTCCTTACCCACTTCCCCTAAACAGGGTTTGACAACTCGGCAGTCAGGGTCAGACTATCGCAGGACTTCCCTTCGACCAATCGCGCGCGTCGCCGGCAGTTTGCCGCGGCATTACCACTGCAAAAATAAGAGTGTGTGTGTGTGTGCGTGTGTATATATACGTAAGCAAAATTAACGTGATGTGAAGACGGAAATCACTTTGGATGTTTATCGTTCCGGACCGCCGAGGGCTCGGATGTGTTGCGGCCCTTTGGCCGCGTGGAGCTCCTCACACGGGGGTCCTCTACCTGGCGGCACCCAACGGGAGGGACCGCGCTCTGAGCCGCGTGGCTCCGAGCCGCGTGGCTTCGAGACGCAGGCGAGATGCACAGATCAGAAAGTGGTGAGCGAGATGGAATGGGAGATTGAGAGAGCGGTAGACATGAGGCGCAGATTCGTGAGAATGAAGCGGGATAGCAGGGAGCAGCGGCAGATTAGGAAGATGAACAAGACATGGTGGAGAGATGTTAACTACTTCGCCCGGTACGCAGGAGGTTGCGGCTTCGATCCCGACGCCTGCTGCTGTATATTTGGAGTTTGCGTGTCTCTCCCCCGTGGTAGCGTGGATTTTTCTCCGGGTCCTCCGTTTTTTTTTTTTTTCCCCTCCACGTTTAGAATCAACGTCGCGCGTTTAGAGTATTTGGCTGCTATAAATGTTCACGTGATGATGATGATGATAAGCCCACTTGGTCGAGCAATCACTTGCGATAGCCAGGTCACTTCTGAAAACGAGCTCCGTAGCTCGGTGAGCCTTATTTTTACCTGGTTGAAATAATCAACAGAAATGTTCACAGTTGAGTTGAATAGGGAGGGCTGAGAGAGAGAGAGATCCCTGGAGCCAAAGAGGTTGCCGATCGGCGGGGGTGCCGGGGTTGCCTCTCGTTGCCGATCGCGCGCACGCTGCCTCACGAGCGATTCTCCTTCGCGAGCGATGGGGACGGTTCACTTCCGGCTGGTTCATCTATTCCGGCCGGTTCGCCTTCCTGCCGGCCGTTGGCTCCGGTAGCGCCGGGAACGCGTCGGCCGCACGCCGCTGCCAATCGTTTGATTCGACGTGTAAAATCGAGGTTGCTCGGGGTTAGGTCGCGTGAATGTGAATGTGTGCCGTTAAACCCGCCGCCACTCGACACGGCCAATCGGTTAACATTTGTCGCATCAACGAAACGCGCCAGTCGACACACGCCGGTCGTGCGTTGGGAGACTAAAACCCACGGCGTACACAGTTTGATTTTGACGACGTTTCGCGGGGGTGATCGCGACCAGCAGCGTCACCGGGCGATTTGCCAGAATTGTTTTTTTTTTACCCTCCAACAGCAACCAATCGGCACTTTTGTGTCACGTGACAAACACTTCCTGATTGGCCGTGTCGGGTGCGGGTGGTGGCGGTGGTTTCACGGCACATTTATATATCACGCGATGCAACCAAAAAATAAAAATTAACCTTTACGGCTAACAGTGATCTCGAAACCACTACGACTACGAGGACTACGACGAGTTTGCGCTAAACTGATTTGATGCACTTTACACAGGTCACCGGGATACACGGGTCACGGCGTTCCGGAACGACACCGGATGCAGCGTTCGAGATATATACTAGATTATATATACCACATTATATATATATATCCTCAATTGCAAACTCTTTTATTTAAAACGTCTTTTTGTGTTTAGTTTGTTGTCTTTTCATCCCCAGCCGTGCTAACCTCCGATTAGCACAGTTGGCTACGTACTGTGCGAAAGCAGTTTCAACGTACATACGTATCCATAGACGAGTTACCCGTGCGGATGGAGTAGCGACGAAGATGACGACGATGACGACGTTGACGCTCACACGGGACGTGTCGCCTCGCTCGGCCAGCCGAAGACACCGTCCATTAAAGGCTTCCGTCGCGAGCGACAACCCCCATCGGACGACGGCGCCGGTGGCGGCGGCGTTTGTTAACCCGGAATCCGCCCCAGCCTGGACAGCGTTTGGGACGGGGCTGAGCTGCCCTCTCCTGACCGAGTAGAGCCAGCGGTTACCGTGCCGGGTTTTGCTCGTTGCTCACTCAACAGATGTTGAACGAGCCCGGACAGCGCTCGGGACGGTGCGGGCGCCATTCGCAAACGCAAGCGCCGCCGGCCGCCACCTGCACAGGACGCGGTGTACGGAACGTGGTGCACGTGGTTACCTGTACGGGACGCGGTGTACCCGTACGGGATGCGGTGTACCCGTACGGGACGCGGCGTACCTGTACGGGACACGGTGTATATACGGCGCGCAGTAAATACTTAATTTCCTCTACGCTAACGAGCCGGCACGGCTCACTCGGCTCCGGGTTGTTTTTCCACTGCCGAGCCGTTGACCGGTGGCGCCACCGCGGAGATGCCGCGTCCTCACGGGGCCATACCGGCTGACGTCGCACGCGGTGAACGCGTCATTGGCCACCGGCCCACGCGGTGAACGCGTCATTGGCCACCGGCCCACTGACCCCGGCCCTGCTTGGGCCCCCCCGAGCCAGATTCGGAAGTCTTCCTGCGAGGCCGGCTACAGTGGCATAGCGCGGTTTTAGTCACCGGAAAAAAATCAAACAAACCCGGCTTGGCTCGGATGTGGCCAGCAGGGAACAAAAACGCCTTTGGAAACTTACTTCGTGACAAAGCCTGAAGAGAAGGCGGCCATTCCTTCCTCCTGTAACGTATGCACGAATCCTCAATAAGCAGCCGGCCAAATATGACGTCGACTTAGACACGAGCTTTCGTCTGGGCCAACGGAGAACGGGCCTCGCCGGATGCGTTCGGGGGGGTGGGGGATGGTTCCAGCGGTGGCCGAATCTCTCCGGAGGCGCCGCCCGACGCCATCGAGCACGAGGAAGTACGGTCGAGCGGCCCCCACCTTACCGTGTCACCCAGGGAGGCCGTCGCGGACCGGCGAGAGGGCCGTACGTCGTGTGTGCGCACGATGACATCAAAAAGAGTCCGTCCTGTGCGGTGTCTTCCGCGGCCGTCTCGAAACGAGCCGTCGTGTTTCTCGCCTGTGCAAAATGTTTGTCGCGTGTCTTGCGGTAGGAGTTTTATTTTTCATCTGTTCCGGCCGATTCGGTCGTCTCAGAAGCCAGCGGAGTTTCCGCTTGGCTCTTTTTTTTTTAGATGTATATTTAGCGTTTTTATTTTTTTCTTCTATTTTTTAATTTGAATTCCGTCGGGTGCCATTCGTTCTGAGTGCGAGAGTCGTTTGGGGGAACCCAACAGGGATGGATATTGCTGCTGCTGCTGCTGCACGCTCGCGCGTCCCCCCCCCCAGACACAACTCAACCCTCACTTTTGGAACGGCGTAAATGATCCGGCTTCGACCGCCGCGCCGTCGTTCGGGCGCGACGTCCGACGTTCCCGCCGAGTGTTCCGCTTGTCGGCTCGCGAAACGTCGGACGTCGTTGCCGATGACGCGGCACATCCGCGAGAAAACCCCGGCGGCGGCGGCGGTCTCTCTTTGCGACGGGAACGCGCGAGGGCCTCGTTGAGCGCGCCGCTCGTAGCGGTGGATGCGTCCCTGGAAAATTGCGAGAACGCGCGCGAAGCGTGTCCCCGCAAACGGACGCCCGCATGTAATCGAAGTCCCCACCGCCTGCAGAGCCACCGGGGACGCTGCGTGAATCGGTCGGCGAGGCGCGGCCGTCCCGGAGCCAAACGCCGTCGCGTTCGCGTGCCAACGACGTCTGCCACGGCGTTTAATGCCGTCCCGTCGCGATTTAAATGAGTTCTCCAAATTCCAAAAATGTGATGTGGTTTTTTTTATATATATTTAATATATTTTTGAACGCGTTGGGAGTTGTTGGTTTTTTTTGTCGATATTTTTTTTCGTACGAGAGGAGAAATTATTTAGGCGGAGGTGGAAAATGTGTTTTACGTGCGGGCCCACCCCCAGAGTTTATACGAGGGATCAGAATGGCCCGCGTGGCACCGCGTGGCACCGCGTGGCACCGCCGGTCCCCGGACAGTGGGACCCGCGTCTGGCTGGCACCGCACGTGGTCCTGCTGGCTCTTCTGTATCTACCAAAAAAAACGCACGCGGGCGCGCACGAGCGACGCGTATATATAGCACACGGGTGTACCGTATGGCATCCACAGGTGGACCGTATCACACCCAACTAAACTACAATCTCATCGGGAGACGTATAATTAAATATTTAGGTGCGCTGGGATCGCGATTCGCATACTCGCTTAGAATGTGAAAGCCAATTCGGTCTTCCTAATAAAGTCTGCCTTTCATTACACATTAACCTGAATCGCTGTGTGGTGATCAACCCCCTTCTGAGCTGCTCCTTTTACTCTTTAACCAGGACGAGTGGGTGGTGGTGTGGGGGGAATGGGTGCATGACGCCTGCCTCTTTGATGATGCCGCCGCTTGTTCCAATCGTATGGTAGCGTAGTGCATCGTAGTATGTTGAACGTCTTGCACACCGTACGTAGTCAACCCAGCTAATTACAGTGTATAGTAGTGTATTGTGTAGTGTAGTATATAGCATGTATAGTGTACTGTATTGTAGTGTGTAAAATAGTGTCAGTTTAATGCATAGTAATTAGCATGTATATACTGTATGTCGAACTTCTTTCACACCGTACGTAGCCAACCGTGCTAATCGGAGGTGCGGGCGGGCGGGGGAGGGGAGGACGAACAACAAACTAAACACACTAAAACGCACAAATCAGTTGTGAAGAAAATTATTTTTTATTTACATTTAAAATTGCACAGCTGCAGTGGCTTCTTAATATCTGAAGGAAAGAGCATTCCAGACGGCCGCAGGGGGGGGACATTTGATACCTGGCAACAGCACAGCGGTCTTACTAACGGGCGGTGCCGCTGGGGGGAGGCTCAGCCCCCCTGAAATTTTGGGAAAGTCGGTAATCGGGATAACCGGATATCCGGCTGCTGCAAAATGCTGCAGGCTGCCACCTTGTGCTGCCCTGCAGGCTGCCACCTTGTGTACTGTCCTGCAGGCTGCCACCTCGTGCTGCCCTGCAGGCTGCCACCTCGTGCTGCCCTGCAGGCTGCCACCTTGTGTACTGTCCTGCAGGCTGCCACCTCGTGCTGCCCTGCAGGCTGCCACCTTGTGTACTGTCCTGCAGGCTGCCACCTCGTGCTGCCCTGCAGGCTGCCACCTTGTGCTGCTGCCCTGCAGGCTGCCACCTTGTGCTGCCCTACAGGCTGCCACCTTGTGCTGCCCTGCAGGCTGCCACCTTGTGCTGCCCTACAGGCTGCCACCTTGTGCTGCCCTGCAGGCTGCCACCTTGTGCTGCCCTGCAGGCTGCTTGAGCGGCAGCCTTGCGAACTTATCGAACTTATTAGCCACGTCAGCGGCTCCGACCTATTAATAAACTCCACGTTCAAATCCAATAAAATTTGTTTTATACATTTGTGGCGCCCATTGGAAAACATAAACACTGGACATCTCAGAATATTGAAGTCAGCAACCCCCCAAAGTCAAAATCCTGGCTCCGCCCCTGCTTACTAATAATGTCTAACTTGAGCTTGCTCATTCACAACCGTTAAGTCACAGTCGCACCACTGCTGGAGAGGTTTGTTTTAGTTTTCCCATTAACCCATCGGGTATCATCCACTTCGACTGCCATGTTGCGTGCAGTGGATGCGGTTTAGGGGTGGACCACGCCCTTCGTGGCAGATCAAACCCCAGGGGATCTTCTGCATGCGAAAGACCCAAAACAGAAGATCCCTTGGGTTTGATCTCCCGACCAAGCTCGTGGGTCCACCCCAGACAGCGCCCACTGCACAAACCATGGCAGTAGATACGGACGATGCCTGATGGGCAAATGAAGAATGTCAAAACAAAACTCTTCCAGTAGCGGCGTGCCGTGACTGGTCGTCCAGAACGGAGACCGTAGCCACAACGGAAAACGCGCGCAATGAACCCCGGTCCACGAATACAAAGGAGGCCGTCCCAGGGGCGGTACACACTACCGCCGCGACTGCTCCGCTACTCCCCACGCGGTTTGTCTGACTTGGCCACCCGAACGTGAAATTGTAAGTTTGTCGGCTCTGCTGCGCCTCCATCGCGGCCGTACAACCCGAAGACGAAGAAGTGGATTCGCCACGTTGCCTGTGGCGTGGCAACACTTGGCTAACTCCCGCCTTCCGCAAGACACGTGACCAAGCGAGGAAGAGTAGGCCCAACACCCTGTGGAGGGGCTCTCCAGAGCTCACTCTGGTGGAGGCCCCTTTGCCCGTCAGCAGTGGCTCCAGCCAGCAGTCGCAGGACTGCGCCTTGACCCTCGGCAGTCGTTTCCCTCTGCGCCAGGGGCTTTTGAAGAAGAATCTACCGTTGGCACGTGGAGTGAAATGTCGGACATCGCGCCGAACGGCGGCTTGACCCGGAAAGACACGACGGAGAGCTCACGACGACGACGACGTCGATGACGTGCTCCGTCACGGCCGTCGCCGCGGCCGTGACGGAGCGCGACGCGCCCTCGCGCGGCCGCTGGAAAACCCAACGCGGCGGCGGCGGCGGCGGGCACGAGCGTCCACGTTGGTCCCTCTCTCTCTCCTCTCTCTCCATCACAGCTTGGTGTCGCGAGCCACGCCCGCCGGCGTGGCCAGCGCCCTCCTGCGCTTGTCGACGGCCGCCATCACGCGCTTGCGAGGCCCAAGCGGCAGGCCCAGGGTGGCGAGGTCGCCCTCGGAGCAGAGGAGCATCGCCTCGAGGTCGAGGCGCTCCCGGCGGCACGCCGGCGCAAACTCCTCCGCGCCGGCCGACGCCAGGAAGGCGTCCAGAGGGCCGCAGTCGTCGTCGCCGCCGTCGCCGCCGCCGTCGCCGTCGCCGCCACCGCCGTTGTCGTCCAGGTCCAGTTCCGCGTCCTCCCAGGGCATCTCTACGCCGTCGCCCGAAGCCGGCTCGCCCTCCTCGTCCAGCATGTCCCACATGGCTTGCAGCGCCAGCGCGGACGAGCTTGTGGGCGGGGGACAAGGGGGGGGGGGGCGGGGATGGATATTTCTCCGGTCCTCCGGGTTTTTTTTATTTTCCCCCTCCACGTTTAGAATCGACGTCGCGCATCCTCAGAGTATTTGGCTACGGTGTCTCTCTCTCCGTGGTCAGATGTTAACTACCTCGCCTGGTATACAGGAGGTCGTGGGTTCGATCCCGACCCTGACGCCTGCTGCTGTATATTTGGAGTTTGCCTCTCCCTTCCCGTGGGCATCGTCACGTGGATGACGTACATGGTACGTCATCGGAATGGGAGTACGTCACGGCTCAGCTCCGGCTCAAGCGAGCCGTGGCTCAGAGCCGCCTCGCTTACCTCGAGCCGGCCCTGAGCCAGGGTCCCGACCAGGCTCAGGACTCTCAACGAGGCCGAGCCTGAGCCACGGCTGAGCCCGCTACGCGCGGCCCAGCGTTTTTTGTGAATCGGAGAGGTGACGGACCTCTCCGCGCGTCGTCGTCGTCGCGCTCTTTACCCGCCGTCTTCCCGGTGTGCCAGCAACGCGCCGGGCCGCTCCGAGGAAGCGGCTCCCGTCGCGTCGGCCGAGGAGGAGGAGGAGGCCGGGGCCGCGTTGCGCTGGCCCCTCACGCTCTCCGAGTCCACGTTGTACGCTCCGCCGCTCAGGAAGTTGCGACGGAACACCATGTTGCCGAGCCCCGGGCGGTTAAACACCGACTCCTGGCTCGCGCTGCGGAGAGAAACGGTAGCGGAGGGTGAACAGTTTAGTTTATAGTTTGTGAACTAAACTATAAACTTAACTATAAACTAAACTATGAACTCCTTTTATTTTAGTTTAAGGCTCCCCACCGAGTAGTAAGAAGCGCCCTGGGCGACTACAAATGATGGCTCGGCGAGAGTGGCTCATCAGCATTGTGTGGGAATTTATAGCAGCGGCCGAATACTCTGGAGGGGTGGGGGAGAGATGGAGGGGGGATGGAGAGGGAGGGATGGAGGCGGGGGCCCATGTTGTCACGCGCCGCCGTGTGACATCGCTGCTCGATCTGCCCAAGCCGCCCCACAGGCTGGCACGGCACCGCCGTGCCCCCCTCCCCGCCTCCCAGACGCCAGTGCTATCACCACCCCTCTTTCGTCCGCCACCCTGGTAAACAACAACAACAGCAGCAGCAGCAGCAGCCATAACAAACACCGCCACTGCGCCTGCACGGCGTCTCCAGACGCGGTCGCACTCGGGCAGGGGACCACCGCGCCCCCCCCCCCCAACCACCCCACCCCTGGGGGAAAACCGAGCGAGCGCGCTCCCTCCTCGCGCTCCCTCCTCGCTCTCCCTCCTCGTGTGCCACTTACTCTTCTTCCGAGTGCTGCTCCTCGAGCATCGAGCCTCCCGCCGCCTTCTCCCATCCGTCTCCACGCTTGCCCGGCTCCGCGTCGTCGCCCGTCTCGCCGCCCGTCTCGCCGGCGCCACCGGCGCCGCCGGCTTCCTTCTGCCCGCCGGCGCGCGACACCGTGCCGATCTTGAGCTTCGCCTGGATGCGCGCGAATGTGCCGAAGGTGCCGAAGCCCCGGCGCGAGCCGACCGCCGGCGCGGCCGCCCGGCCCTGGGTCCCTGACGCCGCGGCGGTTCGCTCCATGCGCTTCTGGTGCTTCTCCTGCAGCTTCGTGGTCTCGCCGACGCGCTTCTCCGCTTCCTGCGCAGCGAGAGACACGGGCACGCAGAGTCACCCACCGTGCGTCGTTTCAGCCGTCGCAACGACCCGCACGGCGGCCGCCGCCACGCGGCCGTCTCCCCGAGCGGTGGTCCAGGCCACCGCCGCGCGCACCCGTAGTTTCGGCGCGGCGTCCGACGTTTCGCTACGGCGCCCTCGGAGCTCCGGGAACGGAGCTGAAGAAGCGAAACGTCAGGGGCGTCGCCGCTGAAACAGCGCGAGGCCAGGGTCACCCTGGGTGACGGTGCCGTGTTCACGCCGGACCTGTTCAAATGTCGGCCGCTCTTATTGGCAGTGCGCCACTGCTGCCCACTCTTAAACACGGAGGCAAAGGTCATCTCCCGCGTGTGGCCTGTAACAGGCTGTTGGGGAAAGTGCTGCTGGCGAGCACCAATGAAAGCCGGAACGGCACACGAGGGGGTGGGTGGCCAGCACCACGCCCGGCCACCTTTGTCTCCCAAGTGGCGGTGTTTTTACGCACCGCACCAGGTACCCATTTGAGGCTGAGTCGACCTAGAGGAGGCCCAGGACCGGCTCAGATAATCGTCAGCGATGTTGGCCGTGAGCGGGAATCGAACTCGGGTCGCGCGGGTTCGTAGCGCAGCGTAGCGCTGACCGCTACACCACCGCTCCCCTGCGGCACGCGCACGCGCACACGTGCACACTCACCCGCCGCGCCTTCTCCTTGGCGCGCGTGACCCCGCGCGGGTCCTTGCGCCCCCTGTCGGCGATGGCGGCGTCGAGCAGCGCCACGCAGTCCGAGTTGGCCCGCAGCGCCGCCAGCTCCAGCGCCGAGTGGAAGTTGTTGTCCAGGGCCCAGAGGCCTGCATCCATGTCGGCCAGGAAGGACACGCACTCCAGGTGGCCAGCGCCCGCCGCCAGGTGCAGCGCCGAGTTGCCCCACAGGTCCGTGCGCTCGGGGTCGCCGCTGCCGCACGCACGCATCGCGTCGCCGGCATTCGCCGACGGCACCGTGGTCGTTATTGGCGCCGCTGCTGCGCTGATGACGTCGGCGAACGCTGCCACAAGCGCCTGTGTGCCAGCGTTCACCGACATCGCCGGGTAGTGGCTCTCTCTCGGGGAGGGTCCTGCCAGGTTTTTCGTAGTAGCGAGAGTGACGTTTGCTCGCGTGTGGGATTCCTATAGGGTGAAACCCCTTTCCCATTCCGATGACGTACTCACACTCTGACGTACGTGTACGTCATCGGGTTTTCTTTTCATTCTGACGACGTAGGTGTACATCATCAGAACGGAATCTGAAGAAAAAAATAAGGTAATTTTACCTGCACGTCTTCGGGTAGGAAGACGTGCCGAGGCTCCCGCAAGGCCACGCTGAAGGGGCGTTCGGCACAGTTTGGCGCCAGCTGTCGTAGAGAGCGGCGGTCGTGTCTCTGTGGTTCTCTGCGGTGAGTAACGACGCCTTTCTAAATAACGTTAATGCCGATCCGCTAGCGCGCGTTACGAGATTCGGCGGTGAACGGGACGCCCCACACCCTGCAACTTGCAGGCGTCTCGGAAACGGGAGAGGGTTCAGGAATGTCCACGTGATTTATCATCATTTGTGATGTTTTGGCTATTGCCGGTTACACTGTGAGGTGTGTTTGTTTTAGCTCTGGGAAGAAACTGGATAACCTGGACGGAACTCATGCAGAACAGGAGGAGAGAGAGAGAGATCATCCAAACTCCACTCTCTCTCTCTACAGAACAGGGGGAGAGGCATCATACAAACTCCACTCTCTCACTCTACAGAACAGGGGGACAGAGATCATCCAAACTCCACTCTCTCACTCTACAGAACAGGAGGAGAGAGAGAGATCATACAAACTCCACTCTCTCACTCTACAGAACAGGGGGAGAGAGAGAGAGAACATACAAACTCCACTCTCTCACTCTACAGAACAGGGAGAGAGAGATATCATACAAACTCCATTCATACTCTGGAGAACAGGGAGAGAACATGCAAAAGTCCACTCACTGTAACATTCACTCACACTCACACGGCAGAATGGGGGGGGAGATGACACAAGCTCCACTCAATCACACATTCATCACTCACACTCCGCAGGACAGGAAGAGACCTGCGAGGTGAAGTATGGTCAAATAACCCTCCATGCCCCCGCTCCCCCCTCACGGCATGTGGGATAAGGCCCCTGTCCAGCAGCGGTTAAAGGGGGTTGTCCGTGGGGCACATTCTAAGGTTTGAGATCATCGGAGGGAACGCGCTGTGACAATGATGGTGTTCTCAGTGTGCGCACACGCCAATGAGTCTCTTGACTTTGACTGCAGCATTGCACACTTCCGTTGGTTCACAATCGTAAGAAAAAAAACAACGTGACTGTTAATAAGTACACGGGGTTCGATTAAACAAAGTAAGTTGTCGTACTTTGGACGCGCCCCGTGCTTAATTTGTGTTTGCGATGATTTACCTTCTGGGAGAACACAAAAAAAAACTCTGCCCGTGTGTCTCGCCAGTGGGTGTAAGTTACCAGGGCGGTCCTGCACAGATGCCATATTTTCTGTCCGTCTGCTACAGCAGAGGCGTAGGGAATTCCAACAAGACCTACATCTCTGCTTTATTGACCTGGTCAAAGGCCTATGATACCATCGGTAGGCCTGGGCTCTGGATTGTTCTTCGTGCTTTCGGAGTCCCTGACCTTCTGCTCACGATCATTAAGGACCTTCATGATGGTGAGCGGGCCCGGGTAAAACTACGTGGCCGGGAGTCGGAGCCATTCCCTGCACACCTTGGTTGTGCGACAGGGACGTCCGCTGGCTCCCACATTATTTAACATCTATTTTGACCACGTGGTTCGTGAAGCCTTCAATAGCTGTACCGTGGGAATTTACATTTGGTACAGATATAATGGAAGGCTGATGATGCCCGGGTGCGGTCAAGGGATGGCTCCCTATTAGTCAACCACGTTATGTATGCCGATGATTTGGTAATTGCTGCTCATTCAGGGGAGGAGTTAGAGACGCTTCTACTGAAACTGGAGCGTGCCACTAAGAGATGGGGCCTTACCATCAGCCCCACCAAAACTAAGCACCTGCCTGGGTATGTTGTACCATCGGACACTCCACCCCCACAACTCCCAATCGGTGATGGGGCAGTTGTGGAGAGAGTGGAGAGTTTCCCATACCTTGGCAGTGTGCGCATGACCGGCTCCGGTTTGGCAGCGGAGGTCTCATTCCGAATCAGTCGAGCGGCAATATCTTTTCATCGGTTGCGTAACGCTGTGTGGAAGCTGCCTGGTCTGTCACTCCGCACGAAGCTTCAGGTCTTCTCGGCCACGGTTATTCCCTCCCTTCTCTACGCTTGCGAAACGTGGACCCCCCTAATGGAGCATCTTCGCCGGTTAGAAACATTTAGGCTGACTTGCCTACGATCCAACCTGGGTTTAACCAGGCTGGATTGTGTGAGGAGCTCACAAATCCTTAAAAGATCTGGACATTGTCCCATCGGTGAGCTCCTCCGGCAGGCAAGGCTACGTTGGCTTTGTGTTCACATGCCTGAAACACGGTAGGACCAACACCTCGGCCGTGGCAGATCACTGTTATAATTCAGTAGGTTCACATGACATTGACTTCTCTAAGACAGAGGTTCTTTGCAAGCCATCTGGCTACCATGAGAGATTCGTTCATGAGGCTATCCACATATACAAACACAGAGACAATTTCACCCGAGAAGATGGATTCTGGCTTAGCAATCATTGTAAGGATTTGATAAACCATTTCGGGTCTTAATTGATTGATCACGCTTAAGGTGGCTTTTAGACTGCATCCATTATTTTTCGTCTCCCCCCTCCTCTTTTCCGAACATAGATGGACTCGTCCATCTGAACAAACTGTCAAATCGCTATCCGTGGTGCTAACGTTGAAAAAAGAAAAACCGCTACTTTTTTAAATTTTCTTGTTGTGGTTTTCACACCTGATGATGATTGCTTGTGTTGCAGTCGAAACGTCGTGATAATTTCATTTTTTAATATTTTTATTATTTTATTGTTTCCCTTCTATGTGACTTTACCGAAAGAACCAAGAATATGAATCCCTGCAGTCACGAAAGCTTTAAATCAAAATAAATAAATGTGTCGTTAAACCCGCCACCACCCAACAGTTCACGTGACAACCCTCACTAATTGGCTGTGTTGGGTGCTGGAGGGGTTAACGGCACATTTAGATTTCCACGATCTAACCCAACAACCTCTTTCATGGATGATATTGGCCGCGAAATCCTGCTGCTAGTCTTAAACTTTGTTTCAGCATGTCGTGAGGTGGTGAGGGTAACGTCTGCTATGGTGATTCATTCTGTTGATGATTTTTTTCTCACAATGGCAATGATGATGATGAAAACGATGTCAGTAAATGCCACCGATGATGCTGATGATAGCGTGATGTTGATGATGGTAAACGCTATCAAGATCATGGCAAATTGTGCCATGATGATGATGGCAATGATGATGGTGGTAGTGATGTTAATGGCAGACGATGCTACCATGAGGATTACTGATGCCGATTATATGATAGCAATGCTGATGCCTCCATTATGATGACGATGATGCTCATGATACGATGAAGATGATGGTGGTATGGTGATGATAGTGATGATGATGCTCATGATACGGTGAGGATGATGGTGGTATGGTGATGATAGTGATGATTATGCTGATGATACGATGAAGATGATGGTGGTTTAGTGATGATAGTGATGATGAGACGCATGATACGGTGAGGATGATGGTGGTTTAGTGATAATAGTGATGATGATGGTCGTATAGTGATGATAGCGATGATGATGGTGGTATAGTGATGATAGTGATGATGATGCTCATGATACGATGAGGATGATGGTGGTATAGTGATGATAGTGATGATGATGCTGATGATACGGTGAGGATGATGGTGGTATAGTGATGATAGTGATGATGATGCTCATGATACGGTGAGGGTGATGGTGGTATGGTGATGATAGTGAAGATGATGGTGGTATGGTGATGATAGTGATGATGGTGGTGGTATGGTGATGATAGTGATGATGATGCTCATGATACGGTGAGGATGATGGTGGTATAGTGATGATACTGATGATGATGGTGGTATGGTGATGATAGTGATGATGGTGGTATAGTGATGATAGTGATGATGATGGTGGTATGGTGATGATAGTGATGATGATGTTCATGATACGGTGAGGATGATGGTGGTATGGTGATGATAGTGAAGATGGTGGTATGGTGATGATAGTGATGATGATGATGGTGGTATAGTGATGATAGTGATGATGATGGTGGCATGGTGATGATAGTGATGATGATGTTCATGATACGGTGAGGATGATGGTGGTATGGTGATGATAGTGATGATGATGCTCATGATACGATGAGGATGATGGTGGTATGGTGATGATAGTGATGATGATGCTGATGATACGGTGAAGATGATGGTGGTATGGTGATGATAGTGATGATGATGGTGGTATGGTGATGATAGTGATGATGATGCTGATGATGATACGATGAGGATGATGGTGGTATGGTGATGGTAGTGATGATGATGATGGTGGTATGGTGATGATAGTGATGGTGATGGTGGTATGGTGATGATAGTGATGATGATGGTGGTATGGTGATGATAGTGATGATGATGGTGGTATGGTGATGATAGTGATGATTATGCCATGATGTCGATGCTGACACAATGGTGAAGAAGATGATGACGTTAAAACAATAAACTATTTTTTATTTCACCAGGTAAGGCCCACTGAGCTTTTATAGCTCTTGTTTCAGAAGCGACCTGGCTATCACAAATGCTAGCTCGAAGAAGTGGCTTATCATCATCATCACGTGCACATTTATAGCAGCCGAATACTCATAAGCGCTTCATTCTAAATGTAGAGGGGGAAACCCGGGGAGAGAGATGCAGACTCCAAATATACAGAGGGCGTCAGGCTCGGGATCGAATCCACGATCTCCTGTATACAAGGCGAGGTAGTTAACATCTCACCACAGAGAGAGACACGCAAACTCCAAATATACAGCAGGCCTCGGGGTCGGGACCGAACCCACGACCTCTTGTGTACCAGGCGAAGTAGTTAACATCTCACCACGGAGAGAGAGACACCGTAAACTGCAATTATACAGCAGGCATCGTCAGGGTCGGGTTCGAACCCACGGCCTCCTGTATACCAGGCGAGGTAGTTAACATCTCATAGCCACCGTGGCGCCTTCTACGAGAGCGAGTGGAACGTGTGTGGAAGTGGAGGCGTGTTACAAGTCGACATTAATGCATCATCTCATGAGATGGACAGAGGCGAGTGGCGTGCAGGTCCAGCTAAGCTGTATCTTATGTTGGGCTCACGGGATGCGCAGTGCCGGATGAAGCTAGGTGCGGGGCCTGTATCATCATGTTATAAAGGGGTCCTAAATAAATATATAAACACATACTTTATTTTTACTTGTATAGTTAAGTAATTGTATTTTTTTATTTGCTATACAGCGAGAAAATACGACAAATCGCTAACCTTAAACACTCGGTCGTTCGTCAAAGTTGAAGGCGGTGTAGTACTATAGTAATAGAGCAAGTGCAGAATCACTGAACCGGAATTGACGGCTTGAATGCATTTAGCACGGGGCCCTTGAAAGTTCAGGGGCCGTAGCTACATTTGATGCTTTTGCTACTAAGTTAATCCGGCACTGGGGATGCCCGCTATCATGTATGTGCACGTAGTTACATGTACACATTCGT